AAAAACCTGCAGATGTGACTGAACTGTGAGCTTCACTTATTAGTGGCTGACGCTGAAAGCTCAATCTAAACGTATTCCAGTGTGTTTGGAGGTGTTGCTGTAAACTGAACTTGGTTCCCCTCCATCGTACTGAGGTGGAGAAGCATTTTCCAGTTGCCTCTGTGGTTCACTTTCTTATCCAAGCTGCATTTATTTGTTTCATCTTATTTCAGTAAACCTGAGTTTTTGAGTTTGCATGCTGGGTTTCCTTCAGTTTGCATGTCCTCAGTGCTGAATCAGCTGCTCTTGGTTTTTTTTTTAGTCAACACTCCCATAATTCATAGCTCCTACGTGGTGTTAATCTGCCATTTTAATTTTCTCTGACCCTTACCCTTAATTTCCTCACTGCATTTCCTGTGTATAACATTCAGAAATTCCTGCCTTCTAAATGAAATTCACATATTCGTTAGCGTTCCCGCTTTCGACGGCAGCGTCTCAGTGCTGCTTCTCCCTTCACCTCCAGGTTTTACACTCAGCACTTACGTCAGAGTGAGTCCCCGTCTCTCAGTTAAACCTCCTCCATATACGTTTAATTTGACCATTAGACTAAGGGTCAGTGGCTTGGCAGGCTGCAGTCAGACCAGTTTCAGGCACCGCTCTCTGTCGGGTTTAACAGGCCTAGCTTTGTGTAGATCCTTGTGTTTGTGTGACTTCCTGTGTAACAATAATTTAACCTTTTATCTGTATCTGGCTCTGTTAAGGTGTGTATGGTGACGTGATGAGAGTGAAGATCCTGTTCAACAAGAAGGAGAATGCTCTGGTTCAGATGTCTGACAGCACACAGGCTCAGCTAGGTAACTTCTTTAGGCCAACAGTTCGAGACTACAATCTAATTATCTGGACATCTTCTGGTAACAGTTGGAGTTAGAATGTATTTTTATAGGCTCGGCAGCGGTGATATCTTGAGATAGGTAGGACATTTTAGACATCTTACATATACATACGTATAATATACATTATTAGCATTCTAGTCCTGAAATGTGCTGGAAAAACATATTAAAGAATGCAATAAATAAAATAAAAATGCTCATGTATTACAGGAAAAGAAAAATGAAATAAATAAATAATCGATTCAGGAATTTGAGCAGCGTTTTTCTCCTGTCTGGTTTTCAGCCATGAGCCACCTGAGCGGCCAGCAGCTGCACGGGAAGTCTCTGCGCATCACGCTGTCCAAACACACCAGCGTCCAGCTTCCCCGCGAAGGCCACGAGGACCAGGGTCTAACCAAAGACTACAGTAACTCCCCCCTGCACCGCTTCAAGAAGCCCGGCTCCAAAAACTACTCTAACATCTTCCCACCATCTGCCACCTTACACCTCTCCAACATCCCGTAAGTCCTTCCACTGCAGGATCATGAACACCTGGCTGCACTTTATACACCGACACCAGGCTGAAACAACCAGAAACATTCCTCAACCATGTGAGACAGTATGGGGGGGTAATGTGTCTTTGATGCAAATGTTACCTTTATGTTTGTAGCCCGTCTGTGGTTGAGGACGACCTAAAGATGCTGTTTTCCAGCTCAGGAGCCACGGTCAAGGCCTTTAAGTTCTTCCAGTGAGTCACCCACTTTCTTTCTCTGTACCCAAAGCTTTATTGATCCATGTCTTAATTAATTAATTACTCTCTCTCTCTTCAGTCTCCTGCACCTCGCACTGACCTCCTTAATCCCAATGTCCGTCTTTCTTCTGAAGTCTCCATCTTTGCACTGAAGTTCCGTTCCTGTGGAAAGCCTTTGCTGTTCCCCAGAAACCTTTACCCTCGTTCCTTAGCTTCTATTCTTGCCTAGAAGCCACATGTCCTTGTCATGAACCCTCGACCTAATGTTCCTGACTTTTTGCCCTGCCCTGAAGTCCGTGTCCTTGTCCCACCACAAAGCCTTTATGCTTGCCTGGATCCTTACGATGAAGCACTTGTCTTTGCCCTGAAGCTTTCCTCGTTGTTCAGAAGCCTTTATCTTTGTCCTGAAGTATTTGTCCAAATCCTAAAACAGTTATTGTTATCGTGCCCTCAAGCCACCATGTCCTTGCCCTGTCCTGCATCTCTCAATTCATGCTGTGTCCCGAAGCCCCTATCCTACCCTGATGCTTTATACCTTGCTTTACTTTTTGCCCTGGACTTCCTTCCCTGTGCTTGCCCTGGTCGTTCTTGCCCTGAAACCTTTTCTCCGGGTCCTTAGCTTTCGTTCTTTGCCAGAACCTTTATCGTTGTTCTGAAGCCTTCATTCTTGCCTTTGTCTTTGTTCTGAAGGCTTCAGAACAATAATACATGTTCAGAAGTCTTTGACCAAGTCCCAAAACCTTTATCCTTACCCTCAAGTCCCTGTCCTTGCCCCAAAGTCTTCACAGTTGCCCTGAAAACTCTATTCTTGTCTTTGGCCCTAAAGTCTCTGGGTTTGACTTGTCCTGAAGTTTCCATTCTTGCCCTGTCCCGTAACAGTCCTTCATGTCTTGTCCCAAAGCTCCTCCATTCTTTATATTTAATCATGTGAACTTCCCGTAGAGTCTGATAACCTCCTGTTGGTTTCTCCTTCAGGAAGGACCACAAGATGGCTCTGATCCAGATGGGCTCAGTGGAGGAGGCCATCGAGTCCCTCATTGAGTTTCACAACCATGACCTGGGCGAGAACCACCATCTGCGGGTCTCCTTCTCCAAGTCCTCCATCTGAGCCTCAGACTTTAGCATCTGAATCCTCCACGCTCCTCCGAGAGTGTACTCAACGGTGTCCACTACACTCCGATCATTCCAACGCATGTCTGCAGAAACCACCGTGAAGTCTGGTGTGGTGTTAAATTATTTTTGTAGGTTTTTTTTTTTTTGCCTTCAAAGAGGATTAGGGTCCGTTCTGAGGTCACTGGTGGAAGTCAGAATTCTGCCTTTAATCTCAGAAGCAGTAATTCTCAGATTGTAGTCAGAATTCGGACTCGTATTCGTGTCCTCCTTGTTTTGAGTTGATACCTTGTAGCCACTCTTGCCTTTTGACTTCAATTCCAGAATCAAGGAATTAAAGTCAGCCTTCTAAATTAATTACTCGGGACTGGAGTTGTCTTCAGAATTCTTCTTTAATCTCAGATTCCCAGTGGTTTTCCTGTGGTCCTAATCCTCTTCTTTGAAGTTTCCCCTCTGAGGTAACACTTCGGTCTTTAAAATATCAGCTCTGACAGTTTGGGAAGTCACACATTTACCCTCAAACTGTCAGATCTTAGCCCGGGCCTTGTTAAGAAAGGCTTGGTTTAGCCTTCAGATGATCCCTGTGCCTTATTCCTGGAGTCAGAGTGACCTCGACTTTGACATGTTTAAAAGAAAATTTTTAAAAAAATCTCCCATCATGCCTCTGTAAATTGGCAAAGAACAGGTTTACAGTTGGTAAAGGTTTACTGTTGATGAGATGTATTACAGATATATACATATTTTCTGTGTATTTTATTGGTGTTTTCAGTCCTTTATGTTAGTGTTTTGTACTGCTGGTTACTGTAGCGTCAAACATGTGAACTGATTCTGTTTTAGCGGGTTTGCTGGGTCTTTAGTCCTAGATGCAATTCTCTTTTTCCTATTCCTTTTTGATTTCTTTATTTCCATGTATGCAATCATGTTTTATTCAAATCAAATATTGTAGCAATATTTTAATCATTCCTGAACTTTTATTTGTTGGGTTTTTGGTGTCTTGGCGAGCTCGGCGGTTCTTCCCGCCGCTCCGCAGCCTTTTACAATCCGCAGACGAATGTTGTTTTGTTTGTTTGGTGTTCTGTTGGATTTGTGAATCATGATGTTAGCTTGTATTTTCTGTCGCGTTGCTCCTCTCAACGGTTTTATTTATAAAAGTTTGTGATCCACTACAGCTGAAACCAAAAACGGCCTTCTAGATGCAAACAAATCCGCCTGCCTCAGGTTTCTGGTTTTAAAGACTTAAAACACAATTATGGTGAACTTTAGGCTCTGTTGGTGTTTTCCTGTGGGAATCTTTTTATTGATTTCTCTACCGCTTCACTGGATTCAGCCCACCAGTGCGACTTCAGTCTCTATTGTTAAACCAGATGTAAAGTGGAGTGCCTTCAACGCAGCGCTGAGTCGTACATCAGGTGTCAATTCCTCTTAATTCTGAAAGTTTGACGGAGAATAAGCCCCGCAGCCGTCAGAACCGTACTGAAACCAGAAGCTGGTTTGGTTTATCTGTGTGTCTTAATATTATTACGTCGACATTCCAGCCGCTCACACGTCCACCTGAACAGACATGGTGCATTCAAAACACCCGGGAGGTTCGGTAGATGGGATTATGAAACTAGACCTCTTCCTCTTTGATTTCCAGAACAAACTGAAGTCCTGTCTCATTCCAGAAGCTCCGAGAAGGTTTCCTTCTACCTGAACTCCAGTTCTCGTAACGTTGGTCTGTCCCAGATGAAAGTTAAACATCTGCCAGTGGATTTAGAGTTTTGGTGGTCTTGCAACACCAGATGGGAGATCTCGGTGCATACCAATCCTAGTAGATGCTTGAACAGCTGCTAAGGAATGTACGCCCTTACTCAAGGACGCGCCTTTCATTAAAATGCTCTCCCTCCATTCTCCAATCCTTGTTTCCTGAGTGAAACACAGATATGGCGCAGAGAGCACAACTAGCACCTCGCATGTCACCGCCCTGACAGATGAAGCATGAAACGTCTCGTCGCTGGGTGGTTTTCCACCGACTTGCTGGCAGAACTTTAGTCTCTATTGAGTTGGGTTCATGGTTTTAGGGACCAAAAACGGCCTTTGTCAGATATTCAGGATCAAATTGATGACTGTGTATAAACCAGCCAATCAGAATCCAGCAGGAAATGGTGCAGAATCTATGCTTTTGTTGCTATCTTATATTTTTAATCTCCAACTCCAGACTGAATGCAACGTTTTTTTAAAATATTTCTTTGTTGAATTTCTGCAAACGACAACTGCAGTTTGATCGTGGATCAGTTTTTAATAAAGAGGTTAACTGTGACAAAGGACTCTGGGCTCCTGCTTGTTGGTGGTTCTGGGGGAGGATTGGGGTTAACCTCCTTCAGTTGCGCCGCCCGGCTGCAGAGGTCACTGTTGTGCTTTGGACTCAGTGAGCAGTTTCAGTTCGTCCCACATTACGTCTGCGTACAGTAAGAATTTGAAATAACACAAAATACATTTGAATAAACGGACAAAACACAGATCGACTGTAACGCCACACGGGAAAACGTCCCAGTGGTCCTCAGCGAGTCCCAAACAGATGTGAGCAGCTGTTTCTCCCAGATGGACCAATGAGAGCGCTCCTCCTGGATGTAAATAGTTTATTTATTATCCGATCTGCTGTCAACAGAAACCACAAACACAGGACACGTTTACATCTGTCAGTCTTTCCCAGGTGACTTGAATGCATCACAGACCTTCGGCGTTGGGTGAGACGGGTGAGGCAGGACTGGGACCAGTGGGTCAGTAAGAGGTGGAGGGTGGGTGGGTAATTGTACATACGTGTTTTATACCTACAGTAACGTTCTGAGAGCTGATTGTTGGTTTTATATATGATGAAACGTGTATATTATTGATTCAAGTGGGCGAACCAGGTTCTGAGCTATACACCTGTTTGGTCACAATAGAAAAAAAACAGATTAAATCATTTTTATCTACAAAGTGTCGTCTGATTTCTTTTCTATAATGAACTTTTGTGAGGATGGCAAACTGAAGAACATCAGAAAAAGAATCTTACAGACCAGATGAAGCATAAAACGTCAAGTCGCTCATATTATTGTTTGATTTACATGTTTTTCTGAATATGTTATATCTGAATATGCAATGAGGCATTATCATATTAAAACTGGCACATTGCATAAAGCCAGGGTTCTAAGTTTTTAATTTTTAACTATTAAAAAGTAAAATGTGAGTGAAATCTTGGATATCAATCATCACTCCATAAACCTTAATATAACTGAGAGAGAGACAAAGTGCACAGCAGACCGAGAAAACACAAGAACCTCTGGGGAAGAAGTGAAGTTAAGTAACATGCCATTAATGGGACATGAATGAGTGCAAAAGAGAAGAGAGAGGAAGAGAGAGCTCAGTGGCACCCATGGGAGATCCCCGATAGTCTAGGCCTATAGCAGCATAACTAAGGGATGGTTCAGGTAACTCACCTGATCCAAGCTTTAACTATAAGCTTTATCAAAAGAGGAACGTCTTAAGCCTACTCTTAAATGTGGGAGGGTGTTCTGCCTCCAGAACCACAACTGGAGGCTGGTTCCACAGAGAGGAGCGTTTGGTAACTGAAGGCTCTGGCTTCTCCTGTTCTACCTTTTAAGAGACTATAGGAACCACAAGTAGCCCAGCATTCAGAGAACGTAGTGTTCTAGAGGGGTAATAGGGTACTATGAGCTCTTCAAGATATGAACCTCTATGACAGCATTATTGTCAAATGGCCTCAATTAAATCTTTATTAACTGTCTTTGAAAAACAACTAGTATGAAATCATTGGACTTCACTATAACTTTTTAGATAAAGTCACTAAGGTGTGAGAGAGTGAACGCTGTTAGAGGCACCAGTTCCTCCCAGTTACCTGCTGCCTGCAGGCTTACTTATTTATTTATGGTCTTGTTTTCATTAAACTCCTTACCCATTTTCCCCTTTATTAAAGAGGCATTATTTCATTATTATTATCATTATAACAGTCATTGAGGTAAGTCCAAGTGGTTTTTATTTATTTTTTTATAATACGGTTGGGAACTGATTCTCAGGCTCCTGTTCCTTGAGTTGAGACTTGGGGAATCAACACCGCCACATAATAATAATATCATCGTTTATCAATTATCCAAGGAAAATAACCGACCACATGGTGGTGCTATTAAATACGTTTTAATATGTTTAGCACGTCTCCATGGGCCTGCGTACCAGGTTCAATGACTTTTGCATGTATAGAGTTTCAGACTATGACTCCCATTGACGGCCATTAAAAAAAAATTACACAAATATGAATAATCAGCAAAATATAGACTGAAAATAATAATGTCTGATTGATTGAAGCAATCACACAGTTAGTGTCAAATCACTGGACTTTACTAAAACATGAAATACGGTTCATATTAATAATGAAATTATTGTTATTATTCATCGTATTATTATTCAAATAGACAGCATTGACCTCTGCCCTGTATCTACAGCGCTATGCACAGGGTTTGGTGAAGATTAGATGAAACAAAAGAAGCAAACTGTACGAAAGATGTGGAACATTTCTAAGCCCTGCTTTATGTCAAAGTAGTTCAAAGAGTCTGACACAGTTTTCTTGTCAGGATTTGAACCTCTGACCAAACAGAAAATGCAACTATTGATTAACTTGTTAAACCTGAGTGAAATAGGACAAATAGTAAAACAAATTCAGTTCAACAGTTATCATGTGCAAGAATGATTTCCATCCTAAGAGTCCACTCTGATGCTACCTTGTGGGAGGGGATGATAAATTCTACCTACTTTTAACTTGTAGCTGAAACAAAGTGAGCCACAGTCACTGTCAGGGCAAACATCAGGTAACCTGCAGTGTCAACTGATTTCATTACATCCCAAATCCTGAAGTGCCAGGACAAAAACTTCAGTAGTTTTTTGCTCTGGTTGTTCGATCAGTTTTCAGTTAGAATAAGTTGAGTCTCAGTCGGTAGAGCTGGCGACCCGTGTACGGAGTTGCTGCAGCAGCCCGGGTTCGGATCCCACCTGTGGCCCTTTGCTGCGTGTTATCCCCTCTCTCTGCCCCCCTTTCCTGTCTGTCTTCGGCTGTCTCTGTCAAATAAAGGCATAAAGGCCAAAAAAAAAAAAAGAAGTTGAGTCTCATCACTCATTAGCTATTACTTCAATTGTTTTTCATTAAATAAAAGTATATAGTCTCTTGAAAGTGTTCAGCTGTTAGATCTGGTTTGGATTTGGGAGGAAATGAGAACTTCCTCAGATGAATAATGTTTTGAATCATGAGAACTGATTAAAAGGAGAAAAATAGACGGATACATTCATTTTCATGCCCACTGTTTCCAGATTAGACTTGCGTTGGTGCCTGAATGCATCCAGTAAAGATCTGCCAACTTAGAGTAAGACTTCTTTAAGCAGCCTAGTTGGGATGGAGTCATTGGACGAACGTGCCTGAGACATTTTCATTTAGTTAAGTTTTAAGGTTCCTTATGGTCCTTAATCTTTACTCATTATTGCTCAGAATGAGTGATTGTGGTTGTATTGTATTGTTGTGGACAGTAGGTGGTGCTGTTGGTTACAGAATGACATTCAAACGGAGCTTCTGGAGCTTTTCTCTTCCTCCCTTATTCCTAATCCTGTGTTTACTGTGTGTGTGTGTGTGTGTGTGTGCTGCTGTGGCTGGTTTCATTTCATCCCTGAGGTTGAATTTAAGGAGATTGTTTTCACTGTATAATCTGATAATATTCTGTATCACACTGTAGGAAATTCACATCCTGATATTCAAACTTCCATCTACCTTGTTCTGTGCTGTAGATTGTGAATCTCCCACAGTCTAAATTTTCTACACACACTGATATATTTTCATACATTTGCCTGTAAATTAAGTGTTCACATCTCCAGCCGAGGTGTGTTTTTGTCCTTCGGTGAGCTGCAGAGCGCAGGAAAATGTGTGTGTGCTGCTGTGAGACATGCAACAGCAGCAACCAACCCACACACAGCAGAGAAGCAATGGAAGATGTCCGATACCGGGACCAGCATCATTACAGTCTCCTAAAATGATATATATGTACATATACATACAAAATAATAAATATTGTATTCTTCACAGCACAACTGGTATGTATATAAATATAAACATATAAATAACATAATCTGTGCGCAAATACATTCTGATATTGATGTAACAAAACTTTCAATAGTTAAGTATAATTATGAGTCGTAGTCGAACAATGGTGATCGCTTTCTTAAGTTCAATTTAGTAGACAGATCATTAATTGTAATTTTCTTCCACAAAATATAGTACATTAATACTTTAATTATTGATTACCCTCAGCTGTTAGTTACCTCCTCCTCCTCCTCCTCCTCCTTCTGAAGGAATTGTTCCTCCCTTGTTGTCTCCCACTGATCTTGAAACGATCCAACTCACATCCTGCGATTTCATGTTGTAATCGTGAGAACTGACTAACCCCTAACCTTAGCGTTGTCGTGTGAGTGTGAGAGAGGAGTGTGTGTGGCGTGTCCAGTGTGTGGTGTGTCGTGTGTGTGAGTGTGTGTACTGTGGTGTGGGTTACTGCGTGTCGTGGGTGTTTACTGGTGGTGTGTGGTGTGTGTGTGTGTGTGGGTTACCTGTGTTGTGTGTTGTGTGTGGTTTTAAACTGTGTGTGTGTGTGTTACCGAGCATATGGGCTCCTGATACTGGAGGACAGCACAGATGGTGGAGAGAATAAAGAGAGTGAGAGCGTTGGGTTCTGTGGAAACGACAAGGAAAGAGTCTGAGCTTTACAGACTGTAGGAAGTTCATATATCCGCGTCGTTATTCTGTAACCGCCCCGCCCCCCCCCCCTTGGACCGGTGACACGCCGAGCCGAACAAAGAGGTGAATGTGGGAAAAAACACAAAGATGCTGGGCACGCCAGGGCTTTGGTCCTCACAACGGCTTGTCATACACGAAACTGTTCGCAGTCGCCCGACCGACGAACCCAGCCTATACATTACATCTCCTCAACACCCTCCCACCACACACAACCACGCACACACACATTAACACACACACTACACACAGTAACACCACACACAGTCACACAGCCTACGACCACGACGGCAGGTTTCACCACACCACGACACCGTAACTACACACGAGTAACACGCCACACACGTAACACACACAGTAAGCACACAACACAACACACACACACAGTAACAACCAGTCACACCCGTAACGACACACACAGTAAGCACACCAACAGGTAACACGACACACACACCCAGTAACACCACACACACACACACAGCACCACACCACGTAAACACACACACACACCAACAGTAACACACCACACACACCACAGTACACACGACACACCACACACACAACCCTACAATTAAATATGTTTTGAAATATGGGAAGCTCCCAAACAAGATTTTGCTCAGTTTGTGGACCCATACATATGAATTGGAGGGAGTCCCTGGGGACATCATGTCGGCTGCAAAGAAGAATGAAGAAGATGTTGGGGAAGGCTCGCTGAAGAGTTCTTTTGGGATCTTTGGGATGAAGGGAGGACGCGACACGTGGCTTGGCAGGCGGTTACCGTGGACACACAAGGTGGATCCGAACCGGAGCCTGTGTTGCTGCTGGTTTGAAAGCTGCTTTGTCCTGTAAACTGGGTGAAAGTTTCTACCTCAAGAGCATTTTGTAGCACTGTGAAAAAACCAACAGGCCCAAAAAGTAATTTTCCAGCGGGCCTGGAGCCTAAACACTACTGTGAATTAACTTTTTTAA